CCCAGGAATCTTCTTTGGGTTCTAATCATGTGATGTAGGAGCCTGATCTTAGCCCCTTACATCATCTGTGGACCCCACAACTCCTGATCTATGATTTAGTCTCCAAACTCAATCTATCCAGCCCCCAACCCTGCCCTTTCAAATTCCCAGTCATGTACTTCTCTCCCAGGCCATCCTGAGGACTGAGTGCTGGGAACTATGTGCCTGTCATGTAGCACTGTTCTATATTAAGTGGATCAAGACCAGGTGCTGAATGCTGAACCAGGTTGGTAGCTATGGCAAGATTGGGAGACTGGGGATTGAGGAACCAGAGGGCCCCCTGTTGGGTGCTGGACCTGACAGGACCAGGGGATCAGTGGATGATGGACTTGGGAGGGAGTCAGGGACCAGACTGGTGCTGGGGCCCAGTGAGTGCCAACCCAAGTGGGCCTTGGAGCCCAGTGGGTGCAAGACCAGACGGCTGGGCAAGCCAAGAGCAAGATGTCATCACACCCTCTTCCAACCTTCTGACCCGCTGTAGCAGCCCCATCTGTCCCATGCACTTCAGGACTCAGGGAGCTGGGCAGAGCTTAGCTCTCTCCAGCCTCTCTAACCTGTGTTCCCCCAGGCAAAATGCTCCCAATTTCTGACTTTCCACAGGATTGCTAGGCTCAGACAGGCCTATATAGACCTCAAACTCACGGATTTGGCCTCCTGAGTAGTTGGGACTACAAATGCACATACTGCTCCCATTCAAGGATTGGGGTGGGGGGGAACCCAAAGCAATCAAGGACAAAAAAAAAAAAAATGAAGGAAGCCAAGCACCATGGTGCATGTCTATTATCCCAGGGACTCAGGAGACTGAGGCAAGAGTATAACAAGTTTAAGATAACTCTGAGCAACTTAGTGAAACCCTGTGTCAAAATTTAAAAATTAAAAGGAGGGGCTGGAGATATTTCTCAGTGGTAAAATGCCTGCTAAGCGTGGTTCAATCCCACCCCCTCCAAAAACAAAGGAATAAAAAGGACTGGGGATGTAGCTCAGTGATGGAACCCCCTGGATGCAGTCCACAGTACCTCCAAAAAGGAAAGACACAACAAAAAAAGGAACCCTAAGTATAAACTGCTGAATGAACAAAGTCAGCCTGAAAAGACTACATACTGGATTACTGAATGATTCCTCAGTCTAATTATGAAAAGAACAACAAATTCCAGCAGTAGATATAGATATATTCTGGAAAAGGTAAAAGTAGAGAGATAGGAAAAAGATCAGTGTTGCAAGCGCTCAGTGGGAGGGAAAAATTGATGAATCATAGAATAATTTAAGGTAGTGAACCTATTCTCTATGATACTCTAATGATGGACGCATTTGTCAAAATCTGTAGAACTGTATAATGCAGAGTGAACCTTTAGGTGTGCAAGTTTAAAAAAAAAATTAGCAGTTCCAAGAATCCCAAGAAAAAATGCAAACTGACAAGTGAGCCTAACTGTATTTCAAATATAGGAAGCAGGAGATTGCAGAATGGTGCTTACAAAGTAACTTTGCAAATGAACTGAGTAAGATTAAAGGCTAAAGGAGTTGCAAGTAAGTACTCTAATTGGTAAGACTTTCTCACAGCAGTTCAGGTTAACAACAGATACTGCTGTACATGAATACAGGAGTTAAATAAATAAGCAGATGGAGGGTACTGGGAGACATCATTAGTAAGAACTAATTTTATCAAGAAACAGATGCTAACACGTGGAAATATTTATACGTTATACATATGTGTACATACAGATTAGTGTACATGCATATCTTTCTTCACTGTCAGTTAACATAGAAAAGAATTTTACTCAGAGAGTGTATGAGAACAGGACATACTAGAACTCATTATAATATTATTGCAATTTTTTTGGATAGGCTTGGACTTTTCATCCTTCACACTAATAAACACATACCCAACTAAATGCAATGTGTGATCCCAGATTGTTATCTTTTTTTTTTTCAAATTAACAAAGCATGTTTTATTTAGTAAAACCTCATGAGTGTGAATGTGGGACAGACATAGGCAAAGTGTGCAGGATTGGAGGTGTGGGTGGAGAGTTTATGGCACTGTTGGGACCTGACTCAGGCAGGAGATGTGGTAATGATAGAGGAGCCAGTGGTCAGAAGATGGGGTGGACAGTCCTTTGGTAATGTATCATGAAACTTTCTGAGGATGAGGAGAAGCCTGACCTGGAAGGGGTATAGCTATCCCTGCAAGTCTAAGGAAACTCAAGCACCCAGCAGCGGCAGGATTCTTGCAGACCATCTGTGGTCACAAAGGCCAGAGCAGCGAGCAGCCTCTACATTGATTCCAGAGCTGCAGGTTGGCGCTCAAAATGGGTATGCTAACAGTGAAGAAAGATTTAAACACTCAAGCATCATCTCTTTGGCTTCATCATTCAAAGATGAGAAATGTTAACAGCAGAGCCCAAGTAAAAGTCTAGATCATTTTCATTTCAGTTATCAAACAGATTTTAAAAGACACCTCCTCCTCTCCCATAAAAACAGCAAAAAGTACTGGGCGTGGGGGCGCACACCTGTAATCCCAGAGGCCGAGACAGGAGGATCACTGAGTTCAAAGCCACTCTCGGCAACATAGTGAGATCCTAAGCAACTTAGAGAGACCCTGTCTCAAAATAAAATATAAAAAAAGGGGATGTTGGGCTAGGGTTGTCGCTCAATGGTAGAGTGCTTGCCCAGCATGTGTGAAACACTGGGTTTGATCCTCAGCACCACATATTAATAAATAGAATAAAGGTATGGTGTCCACCTACAAATACATACACACACACATATATAAAGGGGATGTTAAGTGCCCCTGGGTTCAAGTCCTGGTACCAAAAAGAAAAATTAAAAAAAAAAAAAAACAGAACCCCAAAGTTGTCAGACATCACCATCTCTTGATGGGTTCAATTCCGGGACCAAGTCTCCCTAGCCAATGGAACCCTCATTCCACCCCCAACATCAGATATAATTTTTGGTGAGGTACTCAGAGGGTTCCCCAGAGGGATAATACAGGAGAGATGCTAAATAGCCAGCTAGGCAGTTGTTGGAACCCTGGGACTCTCTAGAAGGGTAAGTACAGCACAGCAATCCTCTATACAGCAGCAGAGGTCCCCAGCTCTCACTTTTGGGCCTTGGTCACCAGGGGGCTGTAATGGATCAGGACCCCAGAGATGACAAATTTGATCCCAAAGATGAGCACTAGGTGGGTCTTGAAATCCTTATCTACACAGGTAGTGCACTTGGTCCTGGCCAGGAAAACCAGCAGGCAGAGTAGGGTCATAAGGATGGTGATAACAGAGGGGTGCACATTACAAATGGCACACTTTGCACTGTATCCAATACTTTGACTCTGTCAGACATACACAGCCGTGCTCATACCACCTTGGCCTCCACAATGTGGTTGCCAGTAAATGTAGTCACTTTCCACATGGGCAGGACTTAGGAAACCAGGGCCTTCACCCCTCCCAGCAAAGTTAGGATAATTCCTAGGATTTGCAGACCAGTAGAGGCCAATACAAGGTTGAAGAGGTTACAATGGGGACCAGAGAGATCCAGAGGCCAGGTGTGGGGTTGGGGATGGAGACAAGGTTTTACAAGAGGCAATGATATTACTGGACAACTTTGCCTGCGGACAAACCCAACCCTCTATCTGGTAGGCAGCAGGCCCAGGCATCCTAGCCTGAGGTAGAGATGGGGAGTGCTCAGGCAGGGCTGTAGGGACCCTGGTTGACTGACTTCCCAGCCACCACTTATTAGCCTTGTGACTAGGGAACTTACCCAACTTTCCTGAGCCTCCATTTCCTACTTTGACAAATGGATATAACAAGCCTACATTATTTTAGTCTAAATGTCCTAAGATACAAATTAAAGAACACATTATTTTTACGTTACTGTTACACCCCCCTGGGTCCTTAAGAAAGCAGAAATTAACACTGTAAGGGTTGTTTCATATCTGATTCTCTCTACTCCACATCCTTTGAGCACCCAGAAGGCCAGGTGAGTGGGAGCAGGGGTGGCTAGAGGCTCTCGCTGTGAGACCCAGAGGCATCTTCTTATTTTTGTGGTGCTGGGGACTGAACCAAGGGGCTCCCTCATCTCAGGCAAGTGCTCTAACACTGAGCTACATCTCCAGCAACACATTTTTTCAATGTTGCCAATTTTTTTCCCTCAGAAAATTACAACAAATACTACATATTTTCTTGATTTTACATTTAATATAATTTAAAAAGAACTTATATAAATGATAACTAGAATAATACTTTCTAATAAATACTGAAATGGAATAATTTTTACAATATATTCATAAAATGAATTCAAACATAACAAAAATTGTATAAAATCTGTCTGATTCTGTATCACATTAAAATCCAATTGTTGATTTGAAATATTAAAAAGTTAAAATGTCTAAACAAGCCAAGAAGAATTATATATAATCTTCAAGGCAGTAGATTTTTTTTTCAAAATTTAAAATTAACAGCCACGTTTATAAAATGTGTGTGTGTGTGTGTGTGTGTGTGTGTGTGTATACAATTTCTTGGGTACTGGGGATGTAACCCAGAGGCACTTTACAATTGAGCTACATCCCCAACCTTTTTTATTTTGAAACAAGGTCTCTAAATTGCTGAGGGCCTGGTTAAGTTTGTGACGCTGGCCTTGAACTTGGAATCACCATTCTCAGCCTCTTGAGTCACTGGGATTACAGGCATGTGCCACCACACCCAGCAAAAGGTTATATTTTTAATTCAACATTTAAATTGAAAAAACTTGCAAAATTCTTCCCCAAATTAGTAACAACAAAAGGGGCTGAGGTTGTGGCTCTAGAGCACTTGCCTGGCATGTGTGAAACACTGGGTTCAATCCTCAGAACCACATAAAAATAAATAAAATAAAGGCATTGTGTTCATCTACAACCAAAAAAAAAAAAAAGAATTTATTTATACACACACACACACACACACACACATTAAAAAGGTATTTAAAAGCCTGACTTTAAAATGGGATGTATAAATCATCTTATTAAATGGGTGTTAAACATAATATTGGAAAAATATGCATTATACAGCACTAGTTTCCATCATTAAAATGAAAAGCAATAATGAAAAAAAATCTTTTTTCCTGTTTTAATTTCGAAAGACAATGTATGGTCTTCTATTCAAACCTATTTTAGGTACAAGCTTTCACATAAATACACATATTCCATCCAAAAAATTGATCTTTAATCAGAAGCTATACAAGTTGGTACATAGCATTTACTGAACAGAAGCTATTTTTAGAGTTACAAGGGCTTATGACTTTTATGTGTACTAAAAGATCTTGGTTTCAGAAGACCCGCCTTCACTCAAGAGGGGCTCTTTCTTCACCTTCAGCCTCCAGGTTTTTCAATTCTTAGGCTGTGAACTGGGAGGAGAGGCGCAGATAAAACTATGTCACCACAGAAGAATGAAACAGTCGCTCTGGGTATTAACTGACTTCAAGTTGTTGTCCTTAGAATAACATATTTAGCCTTTTTTACCTTTTATATAAATCTTTCAAAAATCAATTTGTTTTAAACAAAGTTACCATATCTTAATTAGTAATAAAACAGACTCCCTTAGAGAAAAGATGAATGGCTTGGAATTGTGAGGAGAATTTCTCTGAAAGCCCTGGTGATAAGTCCCATGAAGCTTACTATGAAATTTTAAGTCTGAAAATGGTGCTATAATATCCTGTATCTCTTAAAACTTTCTCCAATAATAAGAAAGTACATGAGAAATGCAAGAGTGGAAAAGTTAATACAAAACTGGGAAAATAAGCCAGGAGTGGTGGTGCATGCATATAATGCCACCTTCTAGGGAGGCTAAGGCTGAAGGATCTTGAGTTCAAGGCCAGTTTGGGCAACATAGTAAGACTCTGTCTCAAATTAAAAAAAAAAAAAAAAAAAAGGTGGGGGGGGTGTGAAAATGGGAGAGTGCCTGGGAAGGAAAAGAACATGATTGAAACTCGGGTCATCAAATGTAATGAAGAAACAACACACTATGCTTATGGTGTCCATGTACAAATATGTAACAATGAATCTGAATCCCATCGTTATGAATAACATAACTCACCAATAAAAATATGGAAAAAAGAAAATGAAAAAAACACACTATGCTACTTCTTTTCTAATCAGAAATTGCCCAATTCATGTCCTGGTTTTTCTGTACCAAAAAACATTTTTCTTTACTAATGATATTACAGAGAACATTTGGTGGGGTATAAAAATTACAGTGGATGGGCTTTTGCTTATTTTTAAAACTATTATTAAAAAGAGTACCAAAAAAAAAAAAAAAAAAGAATTGAGCAAGGGACATCCATCACAATCTGTTACATATCTATCCATAGCTGGCTCACTCTGTCAAAGAGGAGTGAGGAGTTGAAGATGCATACCATGAGTTAGAGATTCTGTTGCAGGGTGAGAAGTGCTCTCCAATGGGCAGAACCCACTTAGGAAGAACTGCCTGTTTGTCTAGCCAGCTCAAAAAAGCTGACCTATCTACAGAGGAGCTTTTCTTTCTCCCCAAATCAGCTTTGAATCTCAATGAAACATACAACGAGTCTCAAAGAGAATAAAAACACACAAACACCAAGAGAAATAAGAAATGCACAAAGGATTACAGCTGAGATTTAGTCAAAGAAATAAAGTAAGACAAACTTGTAAAATATACTATTCAATGCTACAGAACAAGAAGAAATCACTACACAAAGATGGTAGAGGTTTTAAATGATCATGTTTGGCAAAATGCTTCAATACTACCATTAAAATGTGTAAAACATTAAAGGACATGATAAATATGTTTTAAAAAAGAAATAATCTATACATTACCACTTGAATAAGAAAATATTTAGAAAGCAACACCACCAAGAACAGAAAGGGTAAGAAGCAAAGCAAACCCAAGTCATTGTAACAATTGAAGAGTCATAGTGAACAGCAATATAGATACAGCGACATGATAGAAAATCAGGATATCCGGGTTGTATGTTTCATATCCCACACATAGGGATTCTAAATTGAGGGTAGGAACTTAACACAAAGGCACATACTTTGGCATCACTAAAACTGAACATTTAAAATGGACTAGAAAAAATATAACATGTTAACTATAATGCTTCATGGGAGACGGCAAAGAAAACTAGATGAATTTTTTTCTCTCATTTTTAAATCATTTGGACAGGTTATAACTTTGAAATCATGTAGAAAATAAATTGTTACTTACTTTAAAATTCGATTTAATTTTGAGTATATATATTCATAAACCTGGAAAGGCCAGGCAAATATACTTAGTACTAAAGATAAAATAAAATTAGATAAGCAAATTTGCACAGCAAAAGTCAAACCCATTGTGTACAATAGATTATAACAAAACAAAACTTGTTTACACAGGCATGCAGAGCTTTGAGGGCAACCAAATGGGTGATTATGTAGGGAGAAGTACCCAGTCAAGAGCTAGCTGATAACCAAGCTGAGGCATTCATCCTCCTTGGGCACATGACTGACATCAATTAAAATGTTTACTAAGAGCTCTGTGAAAATTATAAATACCTGTAAACATGAAGTGCAGTTGTTCTTCTATGTAGTTCTCTGGGAAATATTTGAATAACTCTTAAGTTCCTACAATTAAATCAAAAGCTTCATTGGTTTTGTTTTGCTATTTCATTAAACAGGTTGGCAGCTCTTGAACTGTAAGTCCAGATTTTTCAATCTGGTGTCTTTGCCATTTGCTATTGCTGCTTGTTCTGGCTCAGTACTTGGATTCCCTAAGCAATGTTTATGAATTCATAGATAATCACTCATTTAAAAAATAAAATTAAGGGACTGGGGCTGTGGCTCAGCAGTGGTATACTTGCCTAACATGTGTGAGGCACTGGGTTCGATTCTCAGCACCACATATAAATTAAAAAAAAAAAGGTCTATCAACAACTAAAAATTAAAAAAAATAATAATAATTTTAAAAGTGGGTAAGGAAAGATTTGGATTCTATTAATAATATTTTGTTTTTTAAAAAAGAAAAGCAAAAATAGGATCGAATTGTCTTCAAATACCACATCTCAGAAAGCAGGTTCTCATTGCTGTCTCGATTATATCATCCACAAGGAAGGAAAAAGCAAACTTTGCATTTTAATACCTCAGTTAACCAATTTCAACAAAATCTGTGAATTTAAAAAGTATTTAGTTGAGGTACCAGTGGTTAAAGGGTGAAGGTAGACTTCTTCAGCAGTTTCTTCAGGGGATAAAATTGTTGCATGAACATGATGAATTTCATCATCTAATTCTGGTTCTTTTTAAATTTCTTCTTGATTGTACCTCACAGCTATAAGATAAAGATTAAAATTTATGTACTAACCAAACTGGGCTTCTCAAAAATTTGCCCTAAAAAAAAAACAGATTTCTTAAAATCACACTATCATAAAATACTAACACTCTCTTATATGTGAAAAAAGATTTGCACTTAGGCTTATGGCAATATAAATCTGTTCATTATCATAAAAATAATGCTGTTGTAAGCAAATCTTGGTTAAAAAATATATGGCCATGTCTCAAAGGAACTTTTTTTAACCACTGCTTTTTTTTTAATTTTTTAATTTGTTCTTTTTAGATATACATGACAGTAAAGTATATTTTGGCGTATTATATATACATAGTTTAACAAATTCTAATTAGGATCTATTCTTATGGTTGTACATGACGCAGAGTTACCCTGGTTGTGTGTTAAAATATAAGGACAGGAAATTTATGTTCCAGTTAATTCTACTGTCTTTCCTATTCCCCTCTCCACTCCCTTCCTTTGTTTGCCTTTGTCTAATCCAATGGACTTCTATTCTTCCCTTCCCTATTTTCCCTTCTTGTGGATTAGTGTCCACATATCAGAGAGAACATTTGTCCTTTCTTTTTTGGGACTGGCTTATTTCACTTTGAAAGTAAAAAGTTTTTACGTGGGGATGTGGCTCAGTGATAGAGTATTTGCCTAGCATGCATAAGGCCCTGGGTTCCATCCCCAACACTAAAAATAAATAAATAAATAAGTCTAAGGAATAATGATCTTTTTTAAAATCAAATTTTTCTTTTTTCTTTTTTTTTGGCGGGGGGAGGGGGAGTACTGTAGATTGAACCCAGAGGCACTTTACCATTAAGCTATATCCCCCATCCTTTTTTTGTTTTGAAATAGGGTCTCACTGAGTTGCTGAGGATGGCCTTGAACTTGTGATCCTCCTGCCCCAACCTCCCAAATCACTGGGATTAAAGGTATGCTTCAACTGCACCCAGCTCTTTTCTTTTTTGAGATGGAGTCTTGGTATGTTGCCCAATCTGGCTTCAAACTCCTAGACTCAAAAAATCCTCCTACCTCACTTTCTCTTCCAAATGACTGGAACAGGTAGAGTCACTGCACCTGTCTAAAATCAAATTGAATAATATATACCTAAGGGTACTATAAAATTTATGTTTCAGGAAAATTCATACATAAAACTCAAAATTACTAATACATACCACTTAGTTAGCTAAGCCAAAGCTATTTAACATCTAAAGAAATAAATAGAATGTCATAAATTAAATTTAGCCCCAATACTTTTTTTCTCCAATATTTTCTATTAACTATAAAGAATAATATTTGCAATTTTCTCAGAAGTAACATTCAGTCATAAATGCCCGGAAATGGAATTACTTAAGTCCATAAGTAATTTTAGGTTTCACAATTCTTTTTTGAATAATATAAATTATGATAATTTGCTGGAAACCGTGAGATGTTGTTACCAGAGGCTGAAAGTCAACTGTAGAGTGACCCTGGGTCCTCGGGTATAATACCTATGATTAGGAAAATTGGCCTGGCACAGAAACAAGTACAACAAGGCAGGGATGGTAATTAGAGCAAGTTTATTGCAAGGTGAGGTAAAGACAAGAGAAAGTGAGATACCCTAGAAAGAGGGGTGGGCAGACTGGCTAGGGACAGAAATGCACAGCAATGGTTAGGCTGTAGGCTTTTGTTAGGATATGGTGCAGTGATGTGAAACCTTGGAGTGGCAGTAAGCACACTTCTTTAGGCTGGTTCCTTGTTCAGCTGCTGCCCATTAGGGGGAAGTCATATGCTGCACTGTGTAAAAATTGAGGGCAAAGACCTATGTACTGGAGTACCTCTCTCTGGCCTAGCACCATGGGTGAAGTTTTTATAAAGGTCAGCTGACTCTTGGAGCAGCTTGCAGGTGCATGCCCAATCCTAGGAACATGATGTGTGCTCATCAATCTACGGAGGAGTGTGACATGTCCTTTTGTGGAATATGGGGAAAGGGCATAGTCAATGGTACTATTCAGTGACTCTGAGTAGTCTTCCCATCTTCCTTAGATGGATTTCTTCTATAGCCCCCTCACACAAAAGGGGTGAAACAGGTATGAATTATGTCCTTATGGCATCACATGATGGCTATTAAGTCCTCTGAGTCAATCATCAGTCAGGAGTCTTTTTACAGATGTCCCCTTTGGTTTCTTCTATTCCTGCTCATCATTAGCTAACTACCTATGATAATGATATGTCTACATTAATATCCATTCATTATTCTCATGTCAAAAATCATCAAAAGAAAGTTCTCTTTCAATTACTTTCCACTTTAACCCCAGTTCACCATCTAAAGAAGTTTACCAAGATAATACCAATCCTATCACTAGTCACAGAAATCATCTATAAAAGATTGTTTCAAACCATCTTTCTACATTGCCCACAATTTAAACAATAGAGATAGAAATTCTGCTCCATCTTTAAAGAAACAGAGGCTATTACTATGTTGAGTAGTTTCTGTATGTATGTGTGCTTTATAGCCAGTATATAAAGAACTTTTCTAAATTGCTATATTTAATTTTAAGATCGATGATTTAAGGGGAAGAAAGTCTATGGTATGTTTCGAGCAGAATTAATGATTATTTTAAAATACTTAAAATGAGGACTAATAATTTTTAAAAATGATTAATGTTAAGAGAAACAATGTAAAAATCATAAGGCTCTAGAGTGGATTGGCTCAACCTGCTTTTAACATGCATTCTCGTAACACAGAGGTAGGAAAGTCAAACACTGTTAATTCCCAGACTCCCTTATAGAGAGGGTTCCAGATACAATTGGTGCAATCAATCAGGAGCACTCACTTGAGGTTTTCCTCTGAACAGAGTTACATGGAGAGAGAAGCAGAACAGGAGGTATCCGTTTTCCCGGCACAGAGCATGGCAGAGGTCGTGTGGTTCTGGAGTTGGCAACTATTCACAATGTTCTAACCCAGCAAGTGGCTTCCTGATCTGGCAAGCAGCTTCTTGACTGTTCCAAAGTCAGCAGCTCCTTTGAAGGTACACTCTTGTGACGTAGTTTCTAGAAGTCCAGCCTAGGTTTGTATCTTCAGAAGATATCTGAGAATCTCCCAAAGATTCTGTGAGCGATCTACACTCCTTAATCAATACCCTCTGTTTAAAGATACAGAATAATCTTCTGAAGGAAGATCCAACTAACTACAACCAAGAATCTTGACAAAGACAGGATTTGGTATTAAAAATTTGGTAGTAAAAATTAAAAGTAAAGTGCAGCAAGTAAAAGCACCTTAAATATGGGGTTGGCACGGAGTTCATAGCTCAGTTGATTTGATCCCCAGCACACACAAAAAAAAAAAGTCAGAAGGTGGGGAATGGCATAGTTGAGGAAACAGGACTTTGGGCAATGAGACCTCCTGCCAACCAAGGTTAAGGTATCTGACAAAGTAGTGGTAGGACTTCAGAAGGCTATCATGTGCTGACTGCTTCTGGCCAAGCATACAAGATAAATGCAACTCAGGCTAAGATTCACAAGTCTGCAGATACAAGGCAAGACAGCTTTGCTGAAGGAACTTCTCTCTGCCTACAATATCAATTGAGAAAGCCCCAAATCTATGTCTCTTTGAATTGAAAAAGTCAGCTACTACTGCACTCCAACTGAAACCGTTATATCAGTAAAGGCTCTGAGGAAGCTGCTAACATTTTTCAAGAACCTTCTCTTAAGAATTTTCTGCCAGCCAGGTATGTGCCTATAATCCCAGCTATTCAGGAGGCTGAGGCAAGAGGATCATAAGTTTGAGTCCTGCCAGTGCAACCTACGGAGACCCTATGTCAAAATCAAAAATAAAAAGGGCCAAGGGTTAATTCAGTGGTAGAGTGTCCTTGGATTCAATCCCCAAGACTGAGAAAAAAAAAATTTTTTTCTACCTAGTAATAGAAGCTATTCTCAGAGAAAAGATCAAATTAAGACTGCTGCCATCCCATCCAAGACTATAGTCTGAAAGGGTCTCAAGTAGGTATCATTTGTTTAAGACCGAAGGGATGGAAAGAGCACAGAAGCCAGCAAGTAAATAAAGAGGTTCTTTCTTAAAAACCGTCTTTTAACTAAGTTAAAAATGTCTTTGATTGTGGTTACTCATGGAAATAACTGAAGGGGGAAAAAATACCCAGAAACTTCTTAAGTTTGGGGAGAACTATTTGGCAAAAAAATCAAAATAACAAATAACAACCAAACCTAGCTTGCAACAGCCTGTAGCTATTAACTATCTAAAACGATCCTGGCACCTCCAAGCCCATAATAGTAGGAAGTGAATTTCTAAGACCTTCCAGTTTCCAATTCCCATGCAGACATGTCCCTGAAAATTAATGGTCAATAAAAGTCTCCTATAGGGTAAAGCCAAGGACTTGAGGACATTAAATAAGGGACTTCCTCTCAGAAAAGTGAACTGGGGTTACCTGAAGGGCAAAATAAGGAATATATCCATGATCACAGCAGACATTACTATTTTTGCCAAACAGTACTTTTTAATTGCTAGGGATCAGTGTCCATTATATTTCCAATTCTTTCTTTTTCTAAAAGCTAGTTTATTTGTTTGTTTGTTTTGCTATTTCCCTACACCTATGCATTATGTATGTGGTGCTTTGGGGGCAGTAAACTTGCCCTTCAGTTAGTAGGTGGTCATAACTTAAGGAGCCATAACCTAACCTGAAGAAAGGGGAAACACCCAGCTATGATGGTCTTGGAACCAATATGTAATGATGGAGTAGATTTCTGGTGGTTTCTCTTTGGGATGGGAGGAGTGTTTTCTGTCTCAGAAAAAGAATATATAGAGAGTCTTCAGTAGCTAGACTGATTCAGGTTAAAACTATAAGTTGTCTACCAAACACTTCCTCCTTCCTTCTTCTTAGTAAAACCCTAACTTTTAGTTAGTCACATTACTGTGTGGACTTTTCAGCCTCCCCAGCTAGGTTTGGCTATGTGACTTAGTTCTAGCCAATGAGATGTAAATTTAAGTGCTGCTGGTTGTAGAAAATTGCCTCAAGCTGATTCAACTGAGGAAAGTCTTTCCTTGCCCTTCCCCACAGACTCCAACAGCAATCTCAGTGAAAGCGGAGGTAGCTTGAGGATAAAAAGCACACACTGAGGAAGACAGGAACTTCAGAACCACCTACTTCTAGATTTCTTCTATGTAAGGGGTGGGAAATTCTATTTAGTTTAAAACACTATAATCTTTGGTTTTCTGTTATAAGTAACAGACCCTAATCTTAAATGATAAAGTATACAGAAAAAATACAAATGAAAACTAACCTGAATTCGTAGAAAAAGCTATTCATTTTAAGAATTTCCAGCAGTTTTTGCTAAAAATAGGCAAAAGTTATCAGGAAACTCTGGAGAATAGTATGGTCTTTTCACAATAATTTATAATATCAAAAAGACATTTATTGAAAGAAGGGATAATAAGCACCCATAAAAGAATATCTATCTTTATGAGTAAGTGAGAACTATTTATTTTCAAAGGAGTAGACAGACCTTTCTCACTTAATAATATTTTCATTAAATTCTGGCATGAGGCCACTTAAAAACTAAAGGAGAACAAGGGGAAGACAAGGGAGGTATGATGAATGTGTTTTCTTCCTTGTTATGGTAGATTTATTCTTAAATGTCTGTGTCCAAAAACATGTGTTCGGGTTTTAAAGATATCTTCCTTTATTCTGAATATGCTTTAAAATATTTATTGAGCGGAGAACAAGGAAAGGAGGTAAAAAGATGAAACAGATGTTAACAGGTTTCTTCCAAGTTCTGGTGGACTTCGGAACTTTAAATGTCTGTTCAAAAGAAATATGCTCTCATTTTAAACATATCTTCCTTTATTATGAATATTCATTTACTTACAGATTTAACAAGTCTTTTTAAAAATATGTTTAGTGAATCATAGATTACAATTTAAAAACACATACTTTGGTAAGATCAATATAATTGATTAGAAAAATTTATTAATAATGTTGAAATAAATCATTTCACCATAAATGTGGTTATCAAATTATACAGCATTTCAAAAATGCTGATGCATAAAATTTTTGAAGGACTTTCATTTTTCTGTGATGCAAATTTCTCAATTTCTACAAATATATAAAAACCATAAATCTTAAAAATCTAAAATTATACTCTATCTGTAATAAATGTGGATTGAAATTTATAGTGGTGTATTTTCCTAAAAAATAAACAAAATTACATACGTGGTTTCAACTCTCCAGTTGTTCCTGATGGAGCAATTCCTTGTTGTAATTTTTTCTGTTCCATCTGCTGAATGGCCTGTTGAATGGAAAAAGAAAATATTTAAAGTAAGAATTATTTGATTTTTTTACATATATGTGACCTTTGACAAAGCATCAAAAACTAATTGAAAATTGTTTTCAAACTATAAAATTTAGATTAATATTGTACAAAGTAATTTTTTAAATACTAAAATTTAAAATACAATAGCTAATAGTACATTGAAAAAGGATCTTACAAAAACACAGGCTTTAGCACAGCACCTAACATCAATTTTTTGTTTTGTTTTGGTATCAGGATTTGAACCCGGTAGCATTTAACCATTGAGCAACATCCCCAGGCCTTTTTTTAATTAATTAATTTACTTATTTAAATTAGGTATATATGACAGCAGAATGCATTTCATTGTACACAACTGTAGCACAACTTTTCATCTCTCTTGTTGTATGTGATGTAGCATCGCACCATATGTGCACTCCTATATGTACTAGAGTAATGATGTCCATCTCATTCCACCATCTTTTCTGCCCCTATGCCTCCTCCCCTCCCCTCCCTTCCCTTTGAGTGCTTGCCTCATATGCACAAGGCCCTGGGTTCAGTGGCCAGCACCACAGGAAAAAAAAAAAAAAAAAGTTTAAGGGCCAGGTATGGTGGCCCAGCCTTTTTTATTTTTATTCTTTTTATTTTGAGATAGGGTCTCACTAAGTTGCTTAGGGCCTAGATAAATTGCTCAGGCTGGCTTTGAACTTGCAACCCTCCTCCCTCCACCTCCCAATCTGCTGGCATTACAGGCATGGGCCACCATGCCCGCTTATTTTTGGTTTTGTTTTCGCTATTTGGCTGTGCTAGGTGGGGATCAAATCCAGGGCTTCATGCATGCCAAGCATGCACTCTACCACTGCACCACACTCCCAATCCCTAGCATTCATTCAAATGTCATAATCCTTTCACAAAATACCACCTGATGATATTCCTGCTTCTGAGCTTCAAGCTGATCATGCTGACGCTGCAGCTCTTCTTTTTGTTTCTGAAGTTCATCAGCCTTCTTCTTAAGTTCATCTTCTTGTAAAGCAATAATATTTTCATATTCTTTTAGTTCCTCCTCTGTGAAGAACTGCTGCTGATCCAATGTCTAAAAGAAAAAGAAAATGAGGAAAAAATAATCTTAGAAATAACCAAGTCTGATTCAGCTCTAAAATTTTATGATTAGTACAAAAATACATTTATAATATTACATATTTTGGGTAAAAAAAAAATGGGAAATAAGAAAAAATATACTTATGTAGTCATTTGAGCTCCAATTTGTCTAGAGCTGCCTGGTTTTATCAATGAAGAGTTCCATATCGTGGGAAACCCCTCAGTCCTGGGTAAACCAGAACAGTTAGTCACCCTACCCTGTTTTCTGGACAATTAAAAACATAATTTAAATGACAATTTTTATTTTTTATGTAAAAAACACAACATTCTTTCTTTGATTTATTTTGGTTGATATCTCCCAACTATTCTTTTGAAATTGTGTATATACACATTTATATAGTTATAAATTGGTATACTTTTCTGAATCAATGTGGCAAGATATATTGAGAAACTAAAAGTTTTCAGAAACCTTGAGAATAGTTCTATTCATGGGAATTAATCTCAGGGAAATCATCACAGTTTGCCCACAAATGTTTAATTAAATAGATAACTATAATACTATTATTTATTATAGTAAAATATTAAATTTTGCCTAAAACATATAAACCTGGAGGAATGGTTACATAAATTATGCTGTAACTAAACAACCATATGTTAAGTAGTTATTTCTTTTGTGGGGGGTAGTACCAGGGATTGAACTCAGGGGCACTCAACCACTAATCCACATCCTCAGTCCTATTTTTGTATTTTATTTAGAGACAGAGTCTCACTGAGTTGCTTAGCATCTCCCTGTTGCTGAGGTTGGCTTTGAACTTTCAATCCTCCTATCTCATCGTCCTGAGCTGTTAGAATTATAGGCATGCACCATCATACCCAGCCCAACTAGTTGTTTCTTAAATCATGTTTTTGGAAAATCACAATGAAAAATGTTCATGAAGTATTATCAAATAAAAAGCAGTACTTCATGAACATATAGTCATTTATATAACAAAAACATTTTTAAAAATACATAAATGTTTCAAGAGCTATGTAATGTTTTGAACAACTAATAATAATAAAAAAAAGAAATTCTTTAAATAAAAAAAATACATAAATGTGAATATATGTGTATCTATAAATTAAGAATAGCATAATACATTGTTTACATATATGCTACATATACATGAGCTGTGTACTATTCCAAATTGGCATAATAGAATGCATAATTTAAATGTTTACATTTAAATGACAGAATTACTAGTAACTTCTAATTTATTCTTTAAATGTATCTATATTTTTAAATTTTAATAATGTATATCATTTTATATTTAGTAAGAAGTATGTTTATAAAGACTTCTAATTATTTTTAATGTGCTAATACATAACAGATCCATTACTACAAGCTTTCCAAGAATCAGGTTCGTTATTTTATAGTGACATTTTATATAAAAAAACCAAGACAGTAAGACTATACATGCAAACAAAACAAGGAACAAAAGTTAAAAGTTGAATAAACTGATGCAGACTTTCTTGAACCATACTTTCTATTTGAAGTTGATTCTATTACCTCCCAGCTATCTGGCTCTAAGAATTCTTTTTTTTCTGTAGCTTTCAAAAATTCTTCCAGAGTCACCAGTCGGTCTTTGTTAGTATCAACCTGATTAAAGAAAAACATATGTATAATATAAAATAAATATTTCTATATTATTTCATCTTTCTTCTATTATTAGAAGTAACTATCTTCTAAAGGAGGCTACTACATAATATATAAAAATTAGGACTGCCTTAACCTCCACAGAAAACAGAAAAAAAAAACACTCAATATTATAATAGAATTAGGAAATAAATACCTTTCAATCCTGTATGAATGAAACTTTAACATACAAGATATCTATATACCCAAAGATCAAAACATTTGAGTCAGCTAATCTGACTGGTTAAGTGCTACTGTCTTCTTCTGTCACCTATAATCCTCCTAAAAATCAAATGCTTGGGCAAGAAAAATCACCATTCCAAATGAGTATTGTTTTAGCCATGTGTAAAAGAGTTTAATTAAAGTAGTCCCTATTGTGTGTTGTATGCATATATGAATATATAACAGCAAATCCATCATAATGTACAACTATAAGGTACAAATTTTAAAATGTGGGAAAAAGTACTCACAACATTTTTTCTAAAAAAGAAACAACTAACTAAATTAAAACTAAAGTTGACTATTTCTCCAAATCCTCTTAATGACTAATACAGACTGGCAAATTCAGTTACAAAGGTTAGCTTTATAATAGTCAAGAAAATTCATTTGATATTTGAGGTACTTCCAAGAAACAAAGATCCCAATTCATTATTAACAGCTCATATATTCAGGTGACAATCACTGAAGTCAAACAGTGGGCTTTAGTAATCCTGCATCATATGATACCCATATCACAAGTTTTTTTCTTGGAAGGAGGAAGGGCAGGACAAGCACCACAAAAAAGGGCAAATATTTCATTAGGAGGGTCATGGAGGTCTTTCTAAAGAATGAACATTTGAGCACACTTGAGAATAAATCTGCTAAAAGTGAGCCCAGGAGATGATCTAGGCAAAATGTTCCAGGAAGAAGAAACTTCTAAGTTCATATGCCTTAAAATGAGAATAACTTTGGTGAGAGGTAAACACCAAGAAGACCAATGTAGACAGTAGAGTGTGACAAAATCACGAGACATGGGATCAGAGAGCAAGGCAAGGGTGAGTGAAATCATGCCATGACCATTACAACATGAGACAGGACTCACCTTCTAAGTGAAACAGCAAGCCACTGAAGTATTCTGAGTAAGAGAACACTATGACCTGACTTATGCTTTTCTCCCCCCCCCCCCCTTGGTGGTACTGGGGATGCAACCAGGGCCTAGTGCAGTGCTCTGTCACGGAGTTACATTCCAAACCCTAATTTATGTTTTTAAGAGATTACTCTGCCATCTGTACTGCTGTGTGGGTAGGTGATTGCAGATAAGATGCAGAAGCTGAGATACCAGCCAGGAGATTGCCTTTATTTTTTTAAGAAATACTTGGAATTGAACCCAGAATCTCACACAGTACCCTATCAACTGAACTACATCCCAGCACCAGTCAGGAGAGGATAGGAAAGGTAGCAGAATACAACAGTTACTAATAGGGCATTATGTAAAAATGTGGATGTGTAACCGATGTGATTCTGCAATCTGTATTTGGGGTAAAATTGGGAGTTCATAACCAACTTGAATCTAATGTATGAAATATGATATGTCAAGAGCTTTGTAATGTTTTGAACAACCAATAAAAAAAAAAAAAGAAATACTTGGAATTGAACCCAGAATCTCACACAGTACCCTATCAACTGAGCTACATCCCAGCACCAGTCAGGAGAGTATATGTGGGACAAAGTGGTCAAATTCCAGATTTATTCAAAAGGGAGATCAATGAAGACTAGCTTTAGGATATGAAGAAAGAGAAATTAAGAATGACTTAGCTTGAGAAATCAGATAAATCATAATTCATTCACTGAAATGAATAAGGCTGAGGGAGGAACAGGCCTGGTTATGGTGAAGAAGTGCATTAAACATGAAATGGGAAAGGTCAAACAAATATAAGCCTGGAGAACAGAAAAAGGAAAAACTGGTGATTAATAATTTTGAATTCACCAGGGCATACACAGAGACACAGGACTCCATTTATCACCTAAGGAAAGAGAAGATAGAAAGGAGAACACAGCTCAGGGCACTGCAACATTTAAAACTTGGGAAGAAGAGGGACAGACAGCAAGGAAAATTGAGAAGAAAGAGCAAGTGAGTATAAGGAGGTGTGGTTCCCCAAAGGCCAAGGGTTATGGTTTGGATATGAGGTACCCCCCTAAAAGCTCAATGCAGGAATACTCATAGGTAAAATGATTTGATTTTGAAAGCTGTAATCTATTTAGTCCATGCTAGTTTGAATGGACTGACTGGGTGGTAATTGTAGGCAGGTGGGGCATGGCTGGAGTAGGTTACTGGGGGCTTTTCCGGAAAGATGCAGCTTCCCTGTGGTTCCTTTTCCCTCCCCTCTGCTTCCTGACCCCACCATGAGCTGAGCCATTTTCCTTCATTAGGCCCTTCCTCAATGATGTGCTGCCTCACCTTAGGCCCAGAGCAATGGAGCCAGTCATCTATGCACTGAGACCTCTGAAACCCAAATAAACTTTTCTTCCTCTAAGTTGTTCTTGTCAGGTATTTTGGTCACAGTGACACAAAGCTGACTAAAACACCAGGTAAAGAAAGCATTTCAAGAAGAGTGAAGCATCAACTGTATCAAATACAAGAGTCAAGTAAGATGAGACAACTGAATTGGTCATCTGACAAGAGAAATTTCATTGGAATGGTGAAGGCTACAGCACAGATTGTGAAGAAAACAAAAGGTGAGGAATAACAGAAACAGGAAGAGTAAACAACTATACAGAATAATTTCCCGTGAAGGAAAGAATGGAAATGCAGCAATAAGTTCAAGTATGGTTTTGTTTTTAAGTTGAAAAATACTAGGTCATGTTTGTCTCCTAATGAGAATGATCTAATAGAGTAGGAAAAACTACGCAAGAGCGAAAGGAGGATAACAGCAAGAACAAAGTCCTTCAAGAGGAGATACTGAATGGGACCTCGTGCACAGGTAGAGAAGGCCTTCCATAGGAACAGCAGGAATTTATCCATAGTCGGGTCCAGTGGTGCATGTCTTTAATCCCAGTGACTAAGGAGGCTGAGGCAAGAAAATCAAAAGTTTGAGGCTAGCCTCAGCAACTTAGTGAGACCCTGTATCAAGATAAATAAGAAGTAGCTCAGTGGTATAGCACCCCTGGGTTCAATTCCCAGTACCAAAAAAAGAAAAACAAAAGTTTATCTACAATTAACAGAAGACAAGACAAAATAAATGATACAGATGCAAATTGGATGATAGATTTGATAGAGGAAAGATGAAGAAATTCTCTTGATTGCTTTTATTTTCTCAGTAAAATGAGAGGAGTGGGAGGGGAGAAGGAGGAAAGGGAAGTGTCTTTGAAGGTATAAGGAGAGGGAAGAATATGCGAAACTGTCAGACTGTGATTGTGGGGATGTGGATGTTCAGGGGGAATATACAACTGCCAGCAGAGGGCCTGCTAGCAATCTGTGCTTGGAAGACTGAAGTTAACATGTTTCCATATTAATCTCCAGCCACGGTCCACTATCCCAATATAGTAGAAAAAAACAGGGCTATGAACTTAGTAGTTATTACAAGTGATGTACTTAGGTAATCATCATTCTATTTGCAAAGGGCCTCATCCACCATCTATTTAATAAGAAGCATGCATCATAGTCTGGACACCTAATTTGGAGGGGGAAGAAGCTCACTGAACAGGCAAATTTAAAATATCTAGTTGGAGCCGGGGTTGAGGGTCAGTGGTAAAATGCTTGCCTGGCACATGTGAGGCACTGGGTTAGATTCTTAGCACCACGTAAAAAATGAATAAATAAAGTAAAGGTATTGTGTCCATCTATAACTAAAAATATATTTTTTAAAAATATGTCTAGTTGCTTTGAAAGGACAGAAATTAAAATTTTAAGACCCTGGTTGGTTTGGGCTATTGTTCCCAGCTATTGCTCCCTCCTGTAATAGGATTATACACCTCCGCCCAGTGGCACATGACTTGCTGAACCATCCTGTAAGAGGTATACATCCACTTCTCACTGACTGGGGACTTGACCCAGATATGCTTCAGTCAAGGGGCTATAATAAGTAAATGTGAGGTTTACCCTAGATGAACATAAGTCTTAAGTAATACAGAGTTTGACTTGGAGTTTCTTATGATCCAGATAAGACCCAGATAGAGACCATTCCTGTAGCCTAGAAATGATAAGACATGTAGAGCCAAGCCTAGCTGGGCCAGATTTGGCCAAGCCAGCCTAACCCTGCCATACCTATCTGACATTAACCTTTAAAGCTTAATAATATTAACAAGAAATAAATATTTGTTATTGCAAGCCATTAATGTGTTGGTATTTTGTGATTTTTCTTAGTATAGGTTGAGTATTCCTTATCCAAAATGCTTGGGATCAGAAGTGTTTGGGATATTGGATTTCTTTGAATTTTGGAATATTTGCACATACATAATGAAATATCTTGGGGATGGGACCCAAGTCTAAACATAAAATTCATTTATGTCTCATATACACCTTATACACAGCCTGAGGTAATTTTATACAATTTTGCAAATAATTTGGTACAGGGGAGGGGAGGGGAGGGGGGATAGTAGAGGATAGGAAAGGCAGCAGAATACCACAGACACTAGTATGGCAATATGTAAATCAGTGGATGTGTAACCGATGTGATTCTGCAACCTGTATACGGGGTAAAAATGGGAGTTCATAACCCACTTGAATCAAAATGTGAAATATGATATATCAAGAACTATGTAATGTTTTGAACCAACAATAAAAATTTTAAAAAAATAATAATAATAATTTGGTACAAGAAACAAAGTTTCATGGTATGAAATTCCCATTTATGGAATCTTATCAGTGCTCAAAAAGTTTTGAATTCTGAAGCAATCTTTATTTTGGATTTTTGAATTGAGGATGGTCAACCTGTAAAAGCTAATGTAGGTTTTTAAAATGCCAAATGTTGAGCTTCATTGTTTCATACTACTAAAAAAAAAGAAAAGAAAAGAAAAAAAGATTTTATAGTTCATATGCAATAGCATCTTAATCTTTTAAAAATAGTTTCAAATTATGTTATTTAAACTTAGGGAATCTAGCATAATATTCTGAAAAAAAATGCAAAATCCAATTAAATACCTACTTTCTATCTTTTTCATTTTATGGGAATATTTATTGCAAAAAACTTTAATAATCCAAAGAAACAACATACACTCTTAAACTTTTAAAACATACCTCACTCATTACATGTTCCCTCATTCTAAGTCTTTCTTCCTCCATTTCTACCATATCATCCTCTTCATTTTGGGCATCATATACTTTCTCCAACTAAAAATAAAATTTAAAGGCCATCATGAAAGAAGAGAAGACTAAAAAAAAAAAAAAAAAAGCAAGAACACTGAGCACTTAATAAACTCATTTACCTCTTTAGTAAATAGGGCTTCTAATTCTTGTTCATCCAGGAACCCATCATTATTGACATCTAAAGTTTAAAAGTTACAGAAGCAGAAATGGATTTTAATCCCTTGTAAAATAAGTACTTAAAATACAATTACTGAACACATGGCTTGCAAAAGCAGTAGAGACATGAAACAACAATATACTGCAGAGAAGGGCATCTTCTTTTTCGTGCAGCTTCAGATAACAATTCAATGTTTATAATTCATCATTTTCATAAAAACATAACCATTTTTTTCCAACAAGATAAAGTAAAGCAATATGCTGTAAAAGTAAACTTTAACATTATAGTATAAAGCCTGTTAGATATAAGCTAGCTAGCCACAGAATTACCTTCGGTTTACAAAGAATCTTGCAAAAAGTCATACAATGACTTAATAGTAAAAACAAGTAGAAAGATGGCTTCTTATCTAAAATATTTTATTCTGCTTATCAGTAAAAATGTCCATAATATTAACCTAGAGAGATAACTAAGTATTTACTATATATAGGACTCAATAGCAGACCATGGCAGAAATCAATGAAGAGTAAAGTAAGTATAATCTTTTCAAATAGCAAATATAAAGAGCAATATTTGTATCAAATCTGTTACCATGTAGCTTGAAAAATGTCTTGGGGTCGAAGTCATTAGGATCCAATCCATCAGTCTCTTCCCATACCTCTTTTAGTTGATCTTTGCTTCCCTGTGAACCAATTTTAAGAAATTGCTTGAATCAAAATGTAATCTATGTGCATAGATTCAAAATGAAATATAAGTTTGAGGAATTTTGCAGAATTGAGAGTCAAGATTTAAGTACTAACAACTTATGATAAAATTCTGCCATCTGATATAAAGAATAATCTTCATCAAAATATGGTTTCATGGGCTGCGGTAGTAACTCAGGCACTGGGTTCAATCTTAAGTACCACATAAAGATAAACAAATAAACTAAATGTATTGTGTCCATCTACAACTAATATATATATATATTAGTTGTAGATATATATATATTTATATGCATACATTAAAAATAAACAAATAGCCTGCCTGTAATCCCAACTGCTCAGGAGGCTGAGGCAGGAAAATGGTGAGTTCAAAGCCAGCCTCAGCAAAAGCAGGGTGGTAAGCAACTCATTGAGATCCTGTCTCTAAATATATGGCTGGGGATGTGGCTCAGTGGACGGGTGTACCTGACTTCAATCCCTGGTACCCAAAAAATAAATAAACAAATAAATACGGTTTCATAAAGTCACAATTCTTACTGGATGATTAACTTTTGGATGATTTTCATGCTTTTTCTTCATTTCTTCAAATTTAGATTCTTCTTCTTTTCTCTTTTCCTCATTCAGTGTTTTTAAATATTCTCTCCGTTCATGTTCCTTCATCATTTCATATTTTTTAAATTCTTCATGCCGAGTCCTGTCATAGTGTTCCAGATCACTTGTTGCCTTAAAAAAATAAAGAAATGTATTTGAAAAGTATAAACAAAGCCATTCTTAAATATAGCACACTAACAGAAGGTAGTATAGGAGAGCAAAAAATGACTGGACTACCCTTTTTAAATTCTACCATTTTACTGGAGTCAGTATTATTACCAGGGAATGTAAGTGTTCAAAGAAACTAAAAATTCAAAGCTAGCTTCAATTTTAGAAAATTCTCATAAGCAAGAAATATATGTTGATTTTTTTTAAAAAACGGAACGGACTGTATCAATATGTACAGTATAGAAAACTAGAATGGTTTCTAACCATTTCACTAAATCTAATAACTGCCAGACTAGAACATCTAGTTTGGTAACTCATTTATACATGAGAGGTCTATAAATTCTCATCTAAAATCCCTGAGGCCAGATGTGTTTTATAACTTTCCAAGTTTTAGACAGGGAATATGACACATATACCACATTATAAGACATCCTACAATGTCTGTAATCAAAAATTAGTATTTCTTTAACAAAAATCTATAAATAGACTAAATAAAAAACTTCAAATAACATTACTATAATTGGTTAGTTCAAGCCAGGTTTCAGTTTTTATAGGTTTTTGAATTTTGAAATTGTGGATAAGTGATTATAAACCTGCATTCCACATTTATACCTGCAATGATCAAGATTAAGCTTCCTCCCTTTAAAGATAGATATTTTAGCAAGTATATAAACATTTTATTTCACTGGCACAGTGGTGCATGCCTGTAATCCCAACAACGTAGGAGGCTAGGCAGGAGGATTGCAAGTTTAAAGCCAGCCTCAGCAAATTAGCAAGACCCTAAGTAACTTAGTGAGACCCTGTCTCAAAAACTAAAAAGAGCTGGGGATGTAGCTCAGATGGCCCTGGGTTCAATCCCCAATACCAAAAAAAAAAAAAAAAAAAAATTTACTTCTGCTTCATTGGGTTTATTTGCCAAATTACAAAACCTCAAATGTACAATAAGAACAATGCTTTTTGGAATTATTCTCACCGCTTTGATTAGCATATCTAAATCTGTGGATTCAAACTTGTCAGGATTCACATGGTTTAGATGATCAAATTGTTTTAGAAGAGCTTGGTGGTCCATGCCTATATCTGAAAGAAAATGAGAAAACTGTAAATGATCCATTACCAGTTGCTAGAAACATTAACATAAATGATATAAGAAAAATACATTCACATTTATTCTTACAGGATTTTATAAGAAAATTTCAAAGTTTCAGAATAAGGGCTCGTATCCATTTTTAGAATATTACACATATTGTTATTCTAGACAAAGGTGATGAATCTAAATAGGATACAATTTAATATGCATATTTTAAAGTTCTATGTAGAAAGCCTATCAGCATAATTAACAGCAAAAACCTTTTTGATTATTTTGAAACTATCAGATATACCTTATTTTAAATCAGGTAAACCCTAGTATAATACCCTCAAAGATCTAAGTAGCATTTCTGAAGAGAACTGTGGAGCAATAAAAATTTAATTTAAGTAAATTCATTCAAATTATGACATTTTTAAAGAAACAACAAATGTATTCTTTGAAAGAAATTTTTAAAGACAAGTTACAAAATGAACTGGTAAAGTGACTCTGGATTATTTCAATTGTATAACTGATTGGGTCATATATTGATGTTGGAAATCAGGGTTTTCACTTAGGAAGAAGGAATATACAAATACATGAAAAAAGTCTGTGAAATGGATAGGAATTAGTACTATGTGTGAACTCAAGACTTCTAAAATATGTACATGCAACATGTATATTGCATTTGCTTCACATGTATATGAATGCGTGTGGAGACATGTATATATTTCCTACATCTGATGAAAGTACAAGAAAAATACATTCCAGTAACAAGGAAAATACTATTGCTGGCCTTTGATCTATAATATTATTCCCCATTTAAAAGAACCAGGACACCAGACACAGCAGTGCACTCCTGTAATCCCAGCAGCTTGGAAAGCTAAGACATGAGGTTCTAAAGTTCACGGCTAGCCTAGGCAACTTAGCAAGACCCTGTCTCAAAATTTAAAAAAATTTTTAAAAAAGGGGGTGGGGTGTAGTTCCGTGGAGGAGTGCCCCTGGATTCAATTCCCAGTAGTGGAGGTAGGGAGGAAAACAGGGCTCCTCAGAGAAATGGCTGATTTAGGGCTTAGAAAAGGGTAAGTAAAAGATAAACCTGGAACATATTGTTATGTCAGAAAGTAAAGATGTAGTTCAGTCAAGCTTTCACTGAATCTCTAGTATGGCACTGTATTAGGAGTTTTACTCATAAAAAAGAAATTTGTTAAAGGACTTATCCCTAAAAAAATATAGCCAGACAGTGAAACATGAAACGATGCCTAACCTCACTCAAAATAAGAGAAATACACACTTAAACTACACTATTAAACCATATAACAGGAGCTTGGGTTATGGCTCAGCGGTAGAGTGCTTGCCTTGCATGTATGAGGCCCTGGGTTCGATCCTCAGCACCACATAAAAAAAATAAATAAAATAAAGATATTGTGTCCATCTACAACTAAATAAAAAATAAAATAAAATAAACCATCTAACGGAACTGCAAAATTCAGAATTATTGCTAATGGGTATATATACTGGCTCAACTTCCATGGAGGTAATAGTAGGAACAGCTATCAAAATTACAAACATACATATCTTTTTATTTAGCTATTTCACTGTGGGAAAATTATCCTACAGATATCTTATATGGAACATACAAGATTAATCACTAGAAATAACCCACATGTCCATCAATAGGGACCTGGTGCCAGGTGTGATGGTCCACACCTGTAATCCCACCACTCAGAAGGCTGAGGCTGGGCAATTCAGTGAGACTCTTTCTCAACATAAAAAAAAAGGAAGGCTAAGGATGTAGCTTAGTGGTAGAGTGTTTGTCCAGCATGCATGAGACCCTAGGTTCAATCCCCAGTGCTACAAAAGAAATTTAAAATAAATAAATAAATAACAGGCCTGGTTAAATGTATCCATATAATGAAATTCTATGCAGCTGTAAAAAAAAAAAAAAGAAAGTAAAGATGGTCTCCATGTACTAAAACAGAAATATCTTCAAAATGTTTCAAAAAAGGAAAACAGTACACAAAATGTGTACTGTATGCCATCTTTGGGGGTTTTTTGGTTTGTTTATTTATGTGATGCTGGGGATCAAACCCAGGGCTTCTTGTATGCTTGGCAAGCACTCTACCATTGAGCTCCAAATCCCTGTCTGCTACCTTTTATATAAAAAGAGCTTTTATCCAGGTACAGTGGGAATGCCTATAATCCCAGAGGACTGAGGCAGTAGAATCACAAGTTTAAGGATAAACTCAGCAATTTAGCAAGACACTGGCTCAAAAATAAAATATTTTAAAAAGGGATATAACACAGCAGTAGAGCACTGGCCTAGTGTGCACAGTACCCTGAGTTAAATCCCCAGGATGGTTAAATAAATAAACTTACTTTTATTTATGTTTGTTTCTGTAAGAATAAAGAACCTCAAGGACAAGGACGGTATTAGAGGACAGTAGGAAGTTATAGGGAACAAAAATACCAGGTAGATTGCTGCTCTGTACTTTCTTATGCTTTCTAATTTTAAACCATGTGAATGCAAAACCTACTTCAAAAATTACCTCCCCCAAAAAATCCTGTAAATTCGTCTTTAAATTATCAGAAATTTTAACTCATAAATTATGAATCAATGAGAAAATTCATAAATTTCCTAAGTCACATCAGAATCTCTGCATTTTTAACAAGCTTGCCAAGTGATTCTTATGCAATCTTAAGTTTATGAACCACTATTCCAAACCAGGTGTCGTGGCACACACCTGTAATCTCAGCAACTTGGGAGGTGGGGTCTGAGGATTACAAGTTCAAGGTTAGCCTTGGCAATTCAGTGAGACCCTATATAAATAAATAAACAAATCAGACTGGGGATGTAGCTCAGTGGTAAACCACCCCTGGAGTCAATCACTCACTCACTCTCTCTCTCTCTCTCTCTCTCTCTCTCTCTCACACACACACACACACACACACACACACAAATGTGTTTATTAACCACAATCAACCACCAGAAGAGCACAACCAACATATGGGGGCATGTCACAGGACACATGAACCAGCTTGAAGGATCTCGCATTGGCCAAATCTAGCCCTCTGGTTTTGACTCGTAATTAGAAAGGCCATTCTGAGATAATAAATGAAATTCACCTATTTTGTCACCTACTACTTTTGAAATTTTATTTTTTTACATTTAAATGTTTGACTCATATACACATATTTTGATGCAGAATAGAAGAATAGCTACATCAATATTTTAAACATTTTTTTTCTCTTTAGGTTCATTCAAATGGTTTATAGTATTAGATTTCCTAATAGTAAATCAAATTTGCATTCCTAAAATAAATTTACTTGCTGTAAGACTATGTTATTGAGCTTAGGGTATACCTCAGTGGTGAATCATTTTCCCCACTTACACAGGCCCTGGATTTGATCATCCGTGCCACAAAACTAAAAGAAAGAAAAGATTGGGGGTTTTCATTTTTTATGGTGCTGGGAATTAAACCAGGGCCTTGTGCAGTCGAGGCAAGCACTCTTCCAACTGAGCTTTATCCCCAGACCAAGATTTTATTTTTGTGATACAATAACTTTGGTTTTGGTATCAATACAGAACAAGAATATGGAAGCTTTCTTTTTCGGTGCTCAACAATAGTTTAGAGAGCATTGATAATCTGATTTTTAATGGTTTGAATTCCTTTATGAAACTGTATAGTTATTTCTTGTTTGGTTTTTTTTTTTTTTTTTAGTACTAGGGATTGAACCCAGGCAAGCTTTACCACTGAGCAACATCCCCAGTTCTTTTTATTTTTCATTTGAGATAGGGTCTTACAAAATTGCTCAAACTTGCAACCCTCCTGTCTCGCCTCTAGAGTCACTGGGATTACAGGCATGCACCACCGTGCTCCTGAGGGCCTGGTGATTTTTGTAGGGTTAGCTCTCTGACAATTGTTCTATTCCATATGTGACATTATTCTAATTAGATTTTCTTTTGGTTTCCTATGATGTTGCTCTTCCTCTTTTTTTTTTTTTTTTTGCATTACATTTCTTGTTACATATATAGAGCACAATTTTTCATATCTCTGGTTGTATATAAAGTATGTTCACATCAATTCATTTCTTCATACATGTACTTTGGATAATGATGTCCATCAACTGGAACAGGATAGGGATGCCCTCTATCACCACTTCTATTTAACATAGTTCTTGAAACACTGGCCAGAGCAATTAGACAGACGAAAGAAATTAAAGGGATACGTATAGGAAAATAAGAATTTAAATTAGCACTATTTGCTGACAATATGATTCTATAGAAGACCCAAAAAGCTCCACCAGAAAACTTCCGGAACTAATAAATGAATTCAGCAAAGTAGCAAGATATAAAATCAACACCCACCGCTAAATCAAAGGCATTTCTGTACATCAGTGACAAATCCTCTGAGAGGGAAATGGGGAAAACTACCCCATTTACAATAGCCTCAAAAAAAAATACTTGGGAATCAACAAAAGAAGTGAAAGATCTATACAATGAAAATTATAGAACCCTAAAAAAAGAAATCAAAGAAGACCTTAGAAGATGGAAAGATCTACCGTGCTCTTGGATGGGCAGAATTAATATTATCAAAATGACCATACTATCAAAAGCACTATACAGATTTAATGCAATTCCAATCAAAATACCAATGGCATTCCTCATAGAAATAGAAAAAAGCAATCATGAAATTCATCTGGAAAAATAAGAGACCCAGAATAGCTAAAGTAATCCTTAGCAGGAAGAGTGAAGCAGGTGGCATCACTATACCAGACCTTAAACTATACTACAGAGCAATAGTAACAAAAACAGCATGGTATTGGCACCAAAACAGATTGGTAGACCAATGGTACAGAATAGAGGACACACAGATTAACCCACAAAATTACAATTACCTTATATTAGACAAAGGTACAAAAAACATGCATTGGAGAAAACATAGCCTCTTCAACAAATGGTAATGGGAAAACTGGAAATCTATATGCAACAAAATGAAATTAAAGCCCTATCTCTCACGATGCACAAAACTTAAGTGGATCAAGGACCTAGGAATTAAACCACAGATGCTGCATCTAACAGAAGAAAAAGTAGGCCCTAATCTTCATCATGTGGGATTAGGCCCCAACTTCCTTAATAAGACTCCTATAGCACAAGAATTAAAAGCAAGAATCAATAAATGGGATGGATTCAAACTAAAAAGTTTCTTCTCGGCAAAAGAAACAATCTGTGAGATGAATAGAGAGCCTACATCTTGGGAGCAAATTTTTACCCCTCACCCATCAGATAGAGCACTAATCTCTAGGATATATAAAGAACTCAAAAAACTAAACAACAAAAAAACAAAAACCCCATCAATAAATGGGCCAATGATCTGAACAGACACTTCTCAGAAGAGGATATACAATCAATAAATATATGAAAAAATGTTCATCATCTCTAGCAATTAGAGAAATGCAAATCAAAACTCCTCTAAGATATCATCTCACTCCAGTTGGAATGGCAGCTATTATGAAGACAAACAACAATAACTGTTGGCGAAGATGTGGGGGAAAAGGTACACTCATACATTGCTGGTAGGACTGCAAATTGTTGCAGCCAATATGGAAAGCAGTATGGAGATTCCTTGGAAAACTGGGAATGGAACCACATTTGACCCAGCTATCCCTCTCTTCGATCTATACCCAAAAGATTTAAAAACAGCATACTACAGGGACACAGCCACATCAATGTTTATAGCACTACAATTCACAATAGCTAAACTATGGAACCAACCTAGATGCCCTTCAGTAGGTGAATGGATAAAAAAAAAATGTGGCATATATACACAATGGAATATTACTCATTAATAAAAGAGAATAAAATCATGGCATTTGCAGGTAAATGGATGGCACTGGAGAAGATAATGGTAAGTGAAGTTAGTCAATCCCAAAAAAACAAATGCCAAATATTTTCTCTGAAATAAGGTGACTCACAGTGGGGTGGGGGAGGGGAGCATGGGAGGTGGAATGTGATGCTTTTCTTCTTTTAAGTCAGTGGCTTAATACATTACTTTTTGTTCTTTCTATTGATAAAATAATTTAAAGCTAATAATTTGAATTTTCATATTTATTTGTTTTTGTGGTCCTGGGAATTTAACCCAGTGCCTTACAAGTGTTCTACCACTGCTCCACATCCCAGCCCTTTCTTTTTAAAAAATTATTTTGTGAAAGGGTCTTGCTAAATTGAAAAGGCTGGCTACATTTATAATCCTCCTGCCTCAAACTCCCAAATAGCGGGGATTATAGTATGTACCACTGCATGGGTCTTCATTTGAATTTTTTGAATGATATACTATCTATTCAAAAAATTAAATTAAATCTTAAAAATTATGAGATGTCAAATCAATACAAATAATTTTGACAAGAAGAACATGACATGTCTCATGTAAACTGACCTCAACAACCAAATACTGAAATTTTCCTACCTTCTAACACTTACCTTGAAGAGAATCCAATTTAGCTTTAATTAGCATTCTTAACCTTCCTACTTCTTGCCTTTTCAGTTCATCAAGTTTTGTCCTCACATGGTGACTTACTAAATCCAGCTCTTTGCTTAGCCTCCCACTCTATCAACAAAATTAATAAGTTAGCTTTATCTATTACATTCAGTTTTTAGACCATATGCAACATATTTAAAAGAGGGTTATAATAATTAGTGATAAACACTTTGATTAGTTGAGATAAACTCACCTAATTATAATCAAAAAGCATCTCAGAAGAGATTCAGTTTGTAATTCTAAAAATCAATATGTCTAAAAAAAATCACATAATTTAGGAAAGTATATTTAAAGCATAAAGTAGAAACTTAAAAAATTGAACTGTAAAATGGTGCAGCCACTTTGGAAAATAAGTCTGGAAGGTCCTCAAAAAATTAAAAGCAGAGTTATCATATGAGCCACCAATTCTATTCCTAGGTACACATAAGAGAATTGAAAACATATTAACACAATAACTTGAACATAAATGTTCATAGAAGCATTATTCATGTGAACCAAAAGAAATATAAACAATTCAAATGTTCATCAATTGATGGATGAATAAAGAAAACAGGACAGTTCTTCCTTAGTATCCATGGGGGACTGACTCCAGGACCTAAATGGATACCAAAATCCTTGGATTTTTAAATCTCTTATTCAAATAGCATAACATTTGCATATAGGATTTCATTCTTTTATTTTTCAAATCCTTATGTTAAGAGGTTGACTTTCAATAGATGAAAGCGAGAAAGCTGCTTTCCCACACAGGAAACCCCAACCCAGAAGCAAGCCCTTTATCAATTGTTTAGCATCATGTTATCACAAATGGAAAAATGAACTAAAGTGAGCGCTTATAAGTCTAGCAATCCAGCCACACCCCATTTCCCAGGAGGAAGGGCTCTCTGCACATGACCAAGGACCATGTCCCCCGGAGTGGGGGGAGGGGTCTGGTCTTACACCTTTGAATAGCTTCCCACTATCCTCAAGTCATGATCCAAGCCCCTTCATCTGATATACAAGATCTGACCCATGACTATTTCCAGCCTCATATTTTGGCCATTCATGGATTCCATTTCCCACTCTGGGATTCAGGAATAGGTACTACTTCCATTTTTCTAGGTACTTCTTGTCTTTGTACCCTTGTGCTTTTGCCTAGGATACCGTCCAGTCTGTCTTTTTTCCAGGTATTTCTTTGATTTCTGGCATATATACTATCTACCAAGAATGACTTCTGGCCTTTCCCCACTGCTTCATATTGGATTATGTGTCTGTCCTCTACCTCTATATAATGCAACATCCATTTATCCATCTATCCATCCAGATAATCTGTTTCTGGATGTGATTTTCCCCTAAGTGTTCATTAAGGGCTAGGAAAACTCTCATCTTTGTATCCTCAGCATTTAGCTCAGAGTCTGATATGCTTAAATGTTTTTTAAATAAGTATTTAGTTACATTTACCTTTATTTCCTCTATGTCTGCTTTCTGGAGCTTTTCTCTGAAATGTTTATCTGTTTCCAGCACATCAATCACCTGCTTAAGATATTCATCATAATAAAGTCCAGTATCCTTCAAATTAAAAAACAAATGGTAATGCTTCTGAAAGTTTTTCCATATTTGAATCAATCATCTTTTTTCTGGAGTGGCGGGGGGAATGCGGATTTAACCCAGGGATGCACTATCACTGAGCTACATCCATACCACTTTTTTACTTTCTATTTTGAGACAGGGTCCCGCTAAATTGCTTAAGCCCTCATTAAGTTGCTGAGGCTGGCCTTGAACTTGCAATCCACCTGGGATTCCAGGCATGTACAAGTGTGCTCATCTTAAAGATATCAATCTTTAAGAAGCAATTTCCAGCAAAATGGCACTAAGAAATATCTACTGTGATAGTTTCAATTATTGAGGTTAAAAAGCTGAATTTCTTAGACTTTTGTATCTGAACCAATACCATGTTATTATAACATAAAGATACATTTATTATATGGTTTAAACAAGGAAGATTTAACCAGTAATACGAACTGGTTTCTTCTCATTGCCATCTGTCTCTCCTTTGAATATAACAGTATTTTCTTAGCTAGTTAGTTCTACATTGAAATGTATTGATTAATTCTTCTATGTACTAATAACATTAAATAAACACTGGCTAATGTTAAACAGCCTATGCCTGTCACATACTCTTTTTATTTCTATTTCAGAAATACAGCCTAAAGGTCCAATTTTACAAGTAATGAATATTTGCAATATTTTAGTTATAATGTTTCCATTTTACTTCAGTTAGATATAATTAATTTAGTTATAATTCCACCCACTTCACTTACTGGTGGTTCTATCTTTGCACTTTCCACAGGTTGAGTGTTTTGTACTTTTGTCTTGTCGATGTCTATAGGGACAGCTTCAAGAGTGATTAGTAGACATGTAGCTGAGAGAAAATAATACTGTTGTAGGCTGGTCCTCCACCTCATCTGAAATACAGAGAGAGTTATAGTCAGGTCCTAAAAAGGTGTTTTAAAACTACATATGGAATTCCCAATGTCACATTAATAACATTCAATCTGAAAAACTTATTAATACAACAAAAAAATTCTAGAAAAGGGATAAAAATAGATTGTTACTTGGGCTGGGCTTGGGGCTCAGTGGTAGCGTGCTCGCCTAGCACATGTGAGGCACTGGGTTCGATCCTCAGCATCACATAAAAATGAAATAAAGATTGTGTGTCCACCTACAACTAAAAAATAAATATTTTTTAAAAATAGATTATAACTTGTCAAAAATAATACTTAAAATAGATTACTAAAGAAAATCAGGGGAGAGATATTTTTAGTCAAAATTAAAAAGATAGGACAAAAAATTTAAAGTTCAAACTACATAAGAAAACATTTGGCTTATTATAAAAACAAAAAAACAACTCCAAGAAAAGAGGGTAATGAGGAACCCAATTTTTTTTTTTTTTTTTGGAAAACAGCTCAAAATGAGAAAAGAAGGAATAAAATAACTTTTCCCCAATTAAAATATTGGGAGCCAAAATTATTTCTGTATAGCTTAATTTAGTTTCAACCTAATTTTCAAAATAAATTGCTCGAATTCAAGCTCCCATTCGCCTGCGTCTCGCAGACAAACCGCTGTGACTCAGCACTAAAAGATCCTGTGGAAACAACTGGTCAGCCTTTCTGAACCTGCGGAGGTTAATACCAACCGAGCCTTCATAGGCAGTGGCCACAGGATTGAGACGGGGCTTGGGAGAGCCAGTCATGACCCACCTGTTGCATTGGTCACCCGGCAAAGGGAATGAACTGTCACCATTTGCATGGGATACCACCATGGCAGAGAACTGACGTCACCAGAATGAGGCAGAGGAGATAACTTCATTGAAACCGGCGGCAACAGGTGTGTAACCCCCTAGCCCTCCCTCTCCACACAGCGGGGAAACCTTAAGGGCCCCTCCCAGCTCTCCCGTGAGCGCGATAGTCAGACCGAGGGAATCAGGAGTGGCACGGGACCTGCGGAGCGGAACCCCCGGCTACCGCTCCCACCAGTGCTGACAACTGAGGTCTCTTGGACCAGCTACCAGGGGCGTGGCTACCGGAGGGCAAGCAAAATTCAATGAGGGTTCTCAGCCCCAAGCTCCACAAACTTAGGGTCTGAGGGAATGGCAAACAGGGAGAATGTCCCCAGTCATTCAAGAAAATAGGGCTCCCGGGAGCAGCAGGCCTGGCGTGTAGCCAGTATTGTGGTGAGCGTCACCAGTGAGCAGGGCCTGGCTTGAGGAAAAGTAGGGAAGTGACTAGACACAAGAAAAGGCCCTAGGCACTCAGAATTGGAGACCCGCCCAGTCTGGGAGGAGGAGCTGCTGCACAGTGATTGGTTCCCGCGTATTGAGAGGAGAAGCTTGGCCCAGTGGGCACAGCTCCACCTACTGGAAGAGAAGTTAATCAAACTCTAAGATTGCATTTATTAATTTTTTTTATTATTTGGGGGTTTTTTTCATTTTTTAAATTTTTTAAATATTTTTTATTATTTATTTTAATTTTTTTATTTTTTTATTTTCTATTTTTTTTCTTTTGTTGTTTCATTTCTTTTCAATTTCCTTATTCCCCCTTCCTTGAATTCTACCTGCTTACTCTCATTCTCTTTAGTGACTTCTTCCCTTCCCTTCTAATACCTTTCCTCCCAAGCATCAAATAATTTATAGGAGTAAACAGTAACTCAGCAGTCAAACAGAACAAGAAGTAACATGAGCAGCATGAAAAAGCAAAGAGTACAAACGATGCAGGACAGCCTAAATATTCAGGAGGACCTACAGGCATCAGAAAAATGGTCAAAAAAAGAACTCAAGGAATACCTTAGACAGATGGAATGGAACCTTAAAGAGGATATAAGACAGCAAATTCAAACAGTGAAAGAACACATTTAAAATGAATTACATAAACAGATAAAAGAAGCAAATAAGCATCTTTATCAGGAGATAGAGATTATAAAAAAATCAAACAATAATTCTAGAAATGAAGGAAACTATAAACCAAATTTAAAACTCAAATGAGAGTATCACTAACAGAGTGGAGCAAGTAGAAGCCAGAATGTCAGATAATGAAGACAAAATATATCACCTTGAAAAGAGTCTAGCCAACTCAGAAAAGCTGGTAAAAAATCAAGAGAAAAACATCCAAGAGATATGGGATAACATAAAAAAAAACAAACTTAAGAGTCATCGGGATAGAGGAAGGTACAGAGGTTCAAACCAAGGGAATGAGCAACCTGCTGAATGAAATAATTATAGAAAACTTTCCAGAAATAAAAAAGGAAACGGATATACAAATTGTAGATGCATACAGGACACCGAGCATACAAAATCACAGTAGACCAACGCCAAGACACATTGTTATGAAGATATAAAACATACAGAACAAAGAGAAAATTTTAAAAGCTACAAGAGAAAGGAGACAGATTACATTAAGGGGTAAACCAATAAGGTTAACAACGGATTTTTCATCACAGACGCTGAAAGCGAGAAGATCCTGGAACAATGTATTTCAAACACTGAAGACAATGGATGCCAACCAAGAATTTTGTATCCAGCAAAATTAAGCTTCAGGTATGACAATGAAATAAATATCTTTCATGATAAACAAAAGTTAAAAGAATTTGCAGCCAGAAAACCAGCATTGCAAAGCATCTTGAGCAAAACACTACACGAGGAAGAAATGAAAAACAATAACCAAAACCAACAGTGGGAAGTGCCTCAGTAAAGACAGAGGGCGGGGGAAAAGCTAATCATGGAGAAACAATCTAAATTAAAAAAAAAAAAAGATAAATAATCAAACATGGCTGGAAGTACAAATCATATATCAATAGTAACTCTAAACATTAAAGGCTTAAACTCTCCAATAAAGCGACATAGTCTGGTAACATGGATTAAAAAAACAAATCAAACAATATGCTGCCTCCAGGAGACACATCTGATTGGAAAAGACATACACAGGCTGAAGGTGAAAGGATGGGAAAAAATATACCACACACATGGTCCTCGTAAGCAAGCAGGGGTGGCCATCCTCATATCGAATAAAATCGACTTCAAGACTAAGTTAATCAAAAGGGATAAGGAAGGACATTATATACTGTTAAAAGGAACCATTCACCAACAAGACATAACAATTATCAATATTTATGCACCAAATAATGGTGCTGCGACATTAATAAAACAAACTCTCCTCAAGTTCAAGAATCAAATAGACCACAACACAATAATTATGGATGACTTCAACACACCTCTCTCACCATTGGACAGATCCTCCAAACAAAAGTTGAATAAAGAAACTATGGAACTCAATATCACAATCAATAACCTAGACTTAACTGACATATATAGAATATATCAACCATCATCAAGTGGATATACTTTTTTCTCAGCAGCACATGGATCCTTCTCAAAAATAGACCATATATTATGCCATAGGGCAACCCTCAGTAAATATAAAGGGGTGGAGATAATACCATGCATTTTATCTGATCATAATGGAATGAAACTGGAAATCAATGATAAAAGAAGGAAGGAAAAATCCTACATCACATGGAAAATGAACAATATATTACTGAATGATCAATGGGTTACAGAAGACATAAAGGAGGAAATCAAAAAATTCTTAGAGATAAATGAAAATACAGACACAACATATCGGAATCTATGGGACACAATGAAAGCAGTTTTAAGAGGGAAATTCAGGAGGGAAGACGGCGGCGAGGGGAGTGCATTGCCCCCGTGTGCTGCTTCACTGTTTGGGAGTATGACAAGTCAGGACGGCTAAAGGCTATCTTGTTAGGAATTTCCAGCAATAGTGGGGTGCTCCGGAACATGGAGGAAGGATTTCCATCGCACGAGGATCGGCTACGGGGACTCAAACGCGAGAGGTTTGTCGCACCGAGGGTAACACTGCTTATTCAGCAAATCGCCCCAGGGCTAGAGTCTGCAGCGCGCGCTGGGAAACAAGGAGATAGCGACGCAGGGATACAGCGCTGCAGTTTCTGCCAGCCGTGCAAGCACCGTACTCAGGGCTGAATTCTGGGTTCGAGACGGGGGAAGGAAGCGGTCCATCTCGGTTCTCCACACCAGTCAGACCACAGAGGAGGCCAGCAGCCACCATTTTGGAAAGCTGACGTCACCATCCCTGTTTTCGACTGACCGCAGCTCATTCAGCCATAGAACAGGTAATTTCAGGCTGCCATTCACCTGCGGCTTGCAGACAGATTGCTAGGGTTCAGTGCATGGGTGCTTCTTAGAACCTGATCTTATCGGAGCGAACACCGAGCGCGGGGCGGCCGAGTTCCGGCTCCCGGAACCGCCCTGGCCCAGGGCTGCGGAGCCTGCGGAGGCTGCTTCTTGGACCCTGCTCCTATCAGAGCATACACCAAGCACTAAGCGGCCGAATTCCGGCTCCCGGAACTGAGCCCGCGGGGACTGCTTCTTGGAGCTTACCCTTATAGGAGCTTACACCGAGCACGGAGCGGCCGAGTTCCGGCTCCCGGAACTTGCCTGGCCCGGGGCTAGGAGCCCGCGGAAACTGCTTCTCGGTCCGGGTCCTGCTGAGGGCCGGTCAGGACTCACCCGTTGCTTTGGTTGCCCGGCAAGGGGAAAGAAATGCTGCCATTCGCATAGGATACCAACATGGCAGAGATCTGATGTCATCAGAAAGCGGCGGAGGAGAGAACTTCATCAATACCAGCGGCGACAGAAACAGTTGGTCTCCTGGTAGGGGGGGTGAGGCACAGACACCCGAGTCTCCTCAATTTGTCGTCGAGCCAGAGGGGAGGAGCCGGGCCGCCGCCAGCGCCCAGAGCAGGCCCAGCGGCTCGCCAGCGTGGTGACCGCGTGACCCCAATTGGAGAGGGGGCGGAGCGGAGCCGCCATCCGCACCCGCTAGGTGGGCAGACCCGCGACCCAGTGGTACATGGGCGTGGTAGGAGGGGCAGG